CCACGCCTGGCTAATTTTTTGATTTGTTGTAGAGATGAGGTCTCGTCAAGTTGCCCAGGCCAGTCTCCAACCCGCGGGCTCAGGCAGTCCACTCACCTCGGCCTCCCAAAGTGCTGGGATTCAGGCTGAGCCACCGAGCCCGGCCTCAATGTTACTTTTTAATGAGTGATGAGGAAGAATTTCTTCTGGACAATTATGATATCATGATAGGTATAGGGACCATTGCAATGGGATCTCAGGTTCAACTCCGAATGCAACATGGGCAAGTGGGAATTTCTAGCCAGGGGGAGGGTAGGGGCCAGTAGATAGAAAATCCAGAAAATCCAGAGGAAACACCAGGGGTAAGGGAGATTCCAGCTAGACAAACCTAACAGGATTCTAGCTGAAGACAGGCCAGAAGGATCGGACATCACCTGTGGGGTTGTGGAGGGTAAGAAACCTGATTAGATTTTGAGGGTGATCAGATAGTGCTAAATGGACTTAGTATGGTTCTTTACTAAAACTGGATTTTATAAGAAAGTACACAGATGGGCCTAGAAGAAGGTCCAGGAGCTTCAGATTTGGCCAAGCATAGAATCTTTGTCATCACTACCGCTCCCTTCCCGGCATATGGTGCCTCTGAAGTATGAGCCTCCCTGGGTTCTGTGGCAGGACCTGGCCACTTCTCACGACCCTGTATTCTCTGCTCTGCCATTTACCCCATCTCCATCTCTTTCCATTTACTTCCAGAACTTTGTGTTCCTCCATCTCTGCTGTCGCCCTCCCTGCTACTCCCTTTTTCCTGTGAGGATTTCCCCATTTGTCTTCCTTTAATGTGATTTTAGTGGAGATTCATCGGGGGAGTGGGGAGATATAAGTACAAATTTTCTTTCTTTTTCTTTTCTTTTTTTTTGAGTTGGAGTCTCACCCTGTCACCCAGGCTGGAGGGCAGTGGCACTCATGGCCACCCCAGGGTCGACCTGCTGGGCTCCAGTGATCCTTGCGCCTCAGCCTTCCAAGTAGCCAGAACTACAGGCGCGTGCTACCATGCCTAGCTAAATTTTTAATTTTATTGTAGAGACGAGGCCTCACCAAGTTGTCAGGGCTGGTCTCGAACCCGCGGACTCAGGCAATCCACTCACCTCGGCCTCCCGAAGTGCTGGGATTACAGGCTGAGCCACTGAGCCTGGCCAAGCACATGTTTTAATTACACCATGTTACACCAAAAAAGTCCCATTTTTTCCTATTATAATTGTTAAAAGAACAAATACATTGAAGGAAAAAATAAAGCAGAGCCACCCCAACCCAGCAGCCAGGTTTCCCTAGGAGCCAGCTGTGCTCATCGTTGTAGCCCCTAGCAACTACAATCCTCTCCTCCCTGGTGCTACAGGACAGATGGGATTTTCTCTTCCCTCATCCGGGTGGGGGCCGTCACCTCCAACACCAACAAGAAGTGGTACATGTTCGATGGGCCGGTAGATGCCATCTGGATTGAGAACATGAACACGGTGCTGGATGACAACAAGAAGCTGTGCCTCAGCTCCGGGGAGATCATCAAGCTCACAGAGGTATGCCCACTTGCTCGCCCACCTGCTCTCCTCCAAGACTGGGTGGGCTTGGAGGCTGCCAAGGTCTGTCCCCCTCTACTCTTCCCTCTCTGGGTCATGAATATGTCTCAGGCTATCACCACTACCTACCCAGGAACCCTCCAGTCAGCAGAAGCTCAAGTTTGGATCCCAGCGCTCCTCCCGGGCTCCAGCTCCCACATCTCTATGTGTCCTGCATAGCTGCTCAGTGCACCCTTTGGGCAGACCCACTTTCTGTGACTCCTAGGCACGTGAACAGGATGACTACTGTCTCCACTGCTCCTCAGCTGATACTGCCTTTTGCCTCCCAGGCCCACTTTCAGACATGTCGGCCCAGTCTAGGTCAGGTGTCTACCCAATCCTGGCACTGTGCCTGGGGTCTGGGGGACAAGTGGTATAGACAACCGCAGAGACCTGCCTGGTGTGTGGGTGGCAGGCCTCAGTGTCCACACTGAGTTGAGCTCTTGAGTCCTCTTAAGAATACTTGGCAGTCATTGTGGACCTGTGTCCGTGTGCACTGGATTTGAGGGGGCTCGGAGCAGAGCATACAGTTGCCAGGTGATTTCCCCAGGCCTCCAGGGATGCTAAAATTGCCCTGGTCCCAGGCTAGCCAGAAAATCTCAGGAATCTACTGACTTGAATCCCTCTTCAGGGATCCTAGGAGGGCCATATTATCAGCTGAGAGCCCAAAGTTTCCTGCATCCTACCCCAGCACTGCCTCTGCCCCATGGCGTACTAGCCTCTTCCACTTACAGGGTGGGCAACCCCTCCCTATAGTCCTGCAGCTCTTTCCCCAGCCCTGGGGACCAACAGCCCACCCACTCACACGGTTCATTTTGGCACCAGGCAATGACCATGATGTTCGAGGTGCAAGACCTGGCGGTGGCTTCACCAGCCACAGTATCCCGCTGTGGCATGGTGTACCTGGAGCCCAGCATCCTGGGCCTCATACCCTTTGTTGAGTGCTGGCTGAGGAAGCTCCCTGCCTTGTTGAAGCCCTGTGAGGAGCATTTCAAGACCCTCTTCGCCAGTTTCCTGGAGGTGAGTGAGGCCCTAGGCAGGGCAGTGGGGCACTGTGGCCACCAGCTGTGAGAGCCAGGTGCTCGCTCCCTGCAGGAATCCATCAACTTCGTTCGGTTCTCGGTGAAGGAGGTGATTACCTCAACCAATAGCAACCTGACCATGAGCCTCCTCAAGCTGCTTGACTGCTTCTTTAAGCCCTTTCTGCCGAGAGAGGTACAGGCCTGAGCCATGGGGCTGGATGCTGGTCCCTCATGCCCCCCGCCCCCACTCCCCTTGCCTGGCCCTAGAAAAGAGAATTGAATTTGTGCAGCACAGTCACAGGAAACTCTCCCACCCCTGTCTGATCTGCCAAGACACGCCCCTGCCCCACTTCCTCAGGCTGCTTGCTCAGTGCTGTTCCTATCTTAGCCTGATGCCATTCCCTCTGACCCCAGGGTCTCAAGAAAATACCTTCCGAAAAGCTGAGTCGCATCCCAGAGCTGATTGAGCCCTGGTTCATCTTCTCCCTGATCTGGAGTGTGGGGGCCACAGGGGACAGCAATAGCCGCACCAGCTTCAGCCACTGGCTGAGGATCAAGATGACAACTGAACAGGTGAGAGTCGGCAGCCCCCAGGGACCAGGAGCCACACAAACCCACTGGGCTTCACAGCCTGATCGTCCTCCTGGTCTTTGGCAGCTGACTCTGCCCTTCCCAGAAGAGGGGCTGGTATTCGACTACAGGCTGGATGACGCAGGGATCAGCAGCACCAACGAAGATGAGGATGAAGAAGAAGAGGGCAAGCAGGTGGCTGCAGGCACAACTTGGGGACCGGATAGAGAGGGCCCCACTGGCTGGTGTCTGTTCACAACAAATAATGACCACAGAGAGGAGGCCATGTTGATGGCCACCAGGTTTGGGGCTGGGGGTCATTTGTATCACCTCGTAAATCATCATGGACCCGTGGGGTGGTTATTATTGTGCCTTTTTCCCAGAGAAGGAAATTGAGGCTCACAAGTTTCATTCAACCATTCAGTGGCAGAGCTGGGCTTGAACCTTGAACTGGGAGCCATTAGAGTGCCTCCTTTCCCAGCCTCCTCCCCATGGATACACACTGCCTCCTCCCCATACACACTGCCTCCTCCCCATTGATGCTGAACTCAGGGAATGGCTGCCTTTGTTCTACTTAAAAGCCCCATTTGCTCAGAGATGGCTCCATGAAGTTGTGGGGGATGCCACAAATCCTTATGGCTTACCTCAGTGTCCCTATCCCTACTGAGCAAGGAAGGGCTCCATGAGCCTACCCTCATCCCAAGGTCAGGACCTCAACCCAGAAGGAGAGAGGCAGAGAGTATCTGCAGAGACCTGACAATCACTGTGCAGGGTCCTGCCAGGGGCTTACAGGGCACTTTTAGCTCTGACGATCAGAACTGTCCCCAGTGGGAAATATTGGTTTGGTTATAGTGAGCCCCCCATCAAGGGAGGTCTGCAAGCTGGGTTAGGGCTATGGGTGAAGGGATTCACACAGGCAAGGATGGTGGGAGAGACCAGGCCAGGTGGCCTCTCAGCATCCGGTTGACACCAGCGTCCATAGCTCTGGCCCCTACATTTTTGAGGTATCCTGAAACTAAACAGCAGACCTTTGCATTCTGGGTTGTTCAATTCCCAAAGTATCCCCTTCCTGCAGAGACTCAGAGACTGGCAGTCCCTAGGGAACATCTCAACTGAGCAGCTGTGTGCAGGGAATTCTCACCTGGACAGCTGTGTTCAGAGTCCCCAGTCTAGTGGTTGGTGCTGAGAGTCCCACCCCTTGCAGAGAGCAGGGCACAGAATTTTCCATTTCTATCAGAAGCAGCCCCTTTCCAGCATCCTCTTGCCAAGGCCCAGCAATGCAGCTTCTTACCCTGCTGCACTTGGCCCCGGGGCCACAGGGAAGAGTGGGGCAGGGAGAGATTCCAGGCCCACCTCTGAGCCACTTGTGGTTCTAGGTGGTGTGGGTGAAGTGGATGGACTCCTCAGCTCCATTCACCATGGCACCAGACACCAACTACTGCAACATCATTGTGCCCACCATGGATACCATACAGATGTCCTACCTGCTGGGTATGCTGCTCACCAACACGAAGCCTGTGAGTGCCCCGCCATGCCTCACCTCAGCCCATCCCAAGGCCCAGCACCTTCTGAGCACTGCCCAGTGTATGCCCCACCTGCACGATCCCTGCTCTCCCAGGTGCTGTGCATTGGGCCAACGGGCACTGGAAAGACACTCACCATCTCTGACAAGCTCCTCAAGAACCTGCCACTGGAGTACATCAGCCACTTCCTCACCTTCTCAGCCCGCACCTCAGCCAACCAGACGCAGGACATCATAGACAGCAAGCTGGACAAGAGGCAGGGCACCCTCGTTCCTTCCTCGGCCCTGGCATCCCCCCAGCCTAGCTGAACCAGCTGCTGTCTTACCTCCCCACCAAATTATGCTCCTGGGTTTACCAGAAACCTCCTAGGGGGAGTCCATCAGCTCTCTAAGGGGCTCAGGGTTCCCTTGCAGACTGCTCCAAAGCTTTCTCTGCATCAAGAATTCCTACAGAGCCTTTCCATGGGTGGGTACTCACCCTGGGCTGGGCTCTCGGGCAGAGCTGTGTGTCTGTCTTTGACATGCCTGTCATCCACCTGCCTGGGAGGCAAGACTCATCTTAAGGGAGTTCACACAGGTCAACTGACCCAAGAGGTCCCAGGACACTTGGGCTGGTCAAGAAGTCTAGCAATTTGGAGGAGGCTGAAATTTAGTGAGGGCTTCCCAGAGGCAGAGCTGCCATCCTGTCACCCCTGAGTTCTCAGATACCTGTGCTCACGGGTGCTGAGCTCACACAGCCCCTCCTGGCAGGCGGAAGGGTGTGTTCGGGCCACCTCTGGGGCGCAACTTTGTCTTCTTCATCGATGACCTGAACATGCCAGCCCTGGAGACATATGGTGCGCAGCCACCCATCGAACTGTTGCGCCAGTGGATGGACCATGGTGGCTGGTATGACCGCAAGATCATTGGTACGTTCGGCCCACTGGCCAGCAGGGCAAGAACTGGGTGTGCTGGGCAGGGGTACAGTAGGCACGGGGCTGAAAGCTAATACTCTTAGGACCCCACAAAAATGTTTTAATTTCTCTTAAAATCAGGGGCAGGAATGAACTTTTAGGTAAAAAAAAAATTCAGTGTATAATATGAATGTCTTTATATCAATACTGTTGTAAAGTATAATTTTTATTTTTATTTTTGTGGTAGGGGGGCCGACAAAGGTCATAAATAGCCCTGGGTAGCAGTAAAAAAAAGAATTCAGTGTATAATGTGAATGTGTTTGCCTTTGTACCAATACTGTTATAAAGTTTAATAATTTTAATTTTTGTGGTGGAGGGGGCCCACAAAAGTCATAATCAGCCCTGGGTAGTGCCCTTCCTGACTTCTGTCCCCTACCCCCTCCCAGGAGCCTTCAAGAAACTAGTGGACATCAACTTTGTCTGTGCCATGGGCCCTCCAGGTGGAGGCAGGAATGCCATCACCCCGCGGCTGACGCGCCACTTTAACTACCTATCCTTCACTGAGATGGATGAGGTCAGCAAGAAACGCATTTTCTCTACCATCCTCAGCAACTGGATGGGTGAGTATTGGGTGGGAGTGGAGGAGGCTATGGGCAAAAGCAGAAGCCCAGCCCAGGTAAGCCACACCAAAGACAGCTGGGAAGCCACTGGAAAGGGTGGAGTGGCCGAACCACTGACTGCAACCCCAACTTCGCTCCTCACTCAACTGTGTTACCTTTGGCAAGTTCATGAACCTCTCTGAGCCTCAGTTTCTTCATCTGTAAAATGGTGAGAATATTAGTACCTGTCATTCCAAATTGTGAGGATCGAGTATGGTATTTCATGCAGAGCATCTAGCATGAAGCCTGGCACATGGTGATTGCTGGATATATATACCTACATGTATGCACTTCGCCCACATATACACACATGTATATGTTGGCACTTGCCTGGAAATGTGGCAGGATGTTACTCTTGTAAATCAGGAAAAGCCATCAAGATAGAATGAACAAAGTGACCCTGGTCCTTCGTGAGGCTTGGGGTAAAGCCCTCCCAGGATGTAGTTTTCCCCACCAGCTTGCCTCCCATCCAACACGCATTCTGAGCTTTGGACTCTACTTGGCATTGTGCCAGGTAGTGAGCGATGAAACCAGGCCTTCCCTTCCCTGCCCTGGCCTGCCCTGCCCCCAGGGGCTACGGGCCAGGGCTTCCCTGCATGTATGGCTTAGGGGTCGGGGTATGCTGCTCGGAGGAAGCGGGGTGGTCAGTGGCTGCTTTGGGAGCTTCCCAGGCCAAGGTGAACAGCAAGAGGTCCACTAATTCTGAGCCCTGTGTCTCTCCCTCAACCCTCTAGGTGGACTCCTTGGAGAAAAAAGTTACCGGGAGCCTGGGCGTAAGTGCAGGCTTGGGTAGGGCCTGGGAGGAGACGGGTGGGAAGGGGGCACTGGTTCCCGACTGAGCCCTGGGCTCTGGCTGGGTGTGCTGAGGCTGGGACGAGGTACCACAGTGCACCACCCTCAGGCTCATGTGGGGACCTTGAGCCAAGCTGACACCAACCCTAACTGCCTCAGAGGCTCATTCACCCATTCTTATAGCCCGACAGACCTTCCATGTCTGGGTTAGTATCTGACTGATGGTAGGTGCAAAGCAGATGCACGGTGAATGAACGAATAAGGGAATCTGTCACACTCTTGCCCTGTGTGAAGAACCAGAGCTCAAGAGAGAGCCGGTACTCTCCAAGGAGCAAGGAGTAAGTGTGAGCAGGAGAGCAAGGGGTGATGGGGGGGCAGCATCCCTCATGGATCTGCCAGTCATCACAGCAGGGTGGCTAACCACTTCAGTCTCTTTCCTCTCCCATGCCCACCTCTTCCCCGACCCCCAGCTAAAAGAGGCCATCAGAAGATAGCTCCCTGTCTGAGCCTCTGTACCCACCTGCTCCCCTGCATCTAGCCTCCCTAATGGCCCTGTCTTCCCTCCTGTGACGAGAAGGAACTTCTGCTCCAGAGTAAGCCAGGCCCTCCTCTTGGGCCTGCTTGGGGATGTGGCTTCACCCCTCCCCCAACACCAGTGGGCCATTCAAGCAGCAAACAAACAGGTCCCCATTCTCCCATCTTCATGATCAAAACACAGAACAAACTCTCTTGGCCCCCTTCACCCCCACTCTAGGCCATTGCCCATTTCTTGCTCACCTTGATAGCAGAACTCCTTAAAAGTATTGTCTCTTTCTGCTGCACCAGCCCTCCCCTTCCACTTTCCCTTGAGACACCCCCACAATCCCCCTGAGAGTACTCTTGTCACCAGTGGCCTTGTGTGGCCAGACCAGTGGTCAGCTTCTGGTCCTCATCTTCCCCAGGGTCAGCAGAATTGACCAGGCAGATGCTCTCTCCCCCCAAGCTTGCTTCTCTGAGGCTTCATCCCTCCTTGGTCATCCTTTCTTGGATTGACTGGGGCTTGGTCTTCAGCCTCTTCTCTCTCCAACTATGCTCTCCTCAGACAGTCTCATCCCACTTCTAATGGTGAAGACTATCTTTGTGCTGACAACACCCAGGTTCACATCCTCAGCCCAGACCTCTTCCCTAAAAGTCCAGCTTCACATCTCTCAGATGTTCATGGGCCATCTCAGATTGAACCTGTCCAAGTCCAAACTCCCGGATGCCTCCTGCCCCGGGCTCTCTTCTCATTTCAGGCAGTGGCAATTCCATCCTTCTAGTTGCTCCAGACAGGACCAGGCCTTGGGGCCATCCTTGCTCCCTCTCTCTGCTCACACCACAGTTCACCTGTCAGGGAGCCTGTGGTTCTCCCTTCAGACCCACCCTGACCGACTGCTGCTCACCACCCCTTCCTTGCCCATCCTGGTCTCAGGTGTCTGCCTTCATCGCCTACAGTCCTCCATTCACCCTACATTTACCCATGTCCTCTGCTCACCTGTCTCATCCAGAGAAGGACCCAGATCCTGGCAGGGCCAGGCAGAGCCATCCTCAGTTGATCCCCACCACCTCTGTGATCTCATCACCTCCTGCTCAGCCCCTCCTTGCTGGTCTTTAACATGCCAGGCCTGCTCCCACCTCCAAGCCTCTGCCCTTGCCTCTGCCTGGAACACTCTTTCTCCACTTGTATACATGCTTGCGTTTCACTTCTTCAGGTCTCTGCTTGAATGTGCCCCTCCTCAGGGAGGCCTCTGCCAGCATTTCTGTGAAGTCACCCCCCAAGCCCAAGCCTTGTGTTCCCTAAACCTTTCTCCTGTTGCAGGTTTCCCTGTAGCTCTTGTCACCTGTTTACTGTCTTCGTTACTTGTTGATCTTTCATTGTCTGCCTCTCCGACAAGAATGTCAGCTTGTTGAGAGTGAGGAGTGTGTCTGTTTGGGTCACCGTCTGTGCCCAGTACCTAGAACAGTGCCTGTGTCGACAGACAAGCCCCTCGCTTGCCCTTTCTTTCCTTTTGTTCCACTTCTGGGAAATCCCTCTGCCCCAAGTTCCAGGGACAGATTTTGGTTACCAGCAAAGAATTGGATTGTTTTCAAGGAACAAGCAAATAGGTATGTGAGTGGTGACATGCAGGCTGGAGTTTGCAGCAGCTACAAGGTGAGCAGTGAGTCCAAAGGTCAGGACTACACCCCAGGCTTCCCTTGTCCACCACTAAGCACTCCTGAGGCCTGTGTGGACCATGTGACCCCTCCCCATGTGTGACTTAGAGCTGATAAGTTCAGGTCTGCCCTAGTCTCATAGGGCAAGGCAGTAATGGCTCTGCTTAGCACTGACCTCGCTAGTGCCCCCAGTTCCATGATGAGTCCCAGTGCCCCACAGGCCATGTTAGTAATAAAGATGTAAAAGGGAGTACAGTGCAGGAGATTCCTCACCTCGAGCTAGACACCATCTGAGATGGGGCTAAAGGGTGCGTGAAATCCAAGCCTTCAGGCAGGGGCAGGGGCATTGTGGGGAGACAGCATAAGCAGAGATGGGGAGGTTAGGGTCTGCAGGGACTGCAGAGGAAGTTCCCATCTGTGTGACTCAGGCCATTCTTCCCCAGCGGGGGCCCCCCACATCGCCCACTTCACGGATCCCCTTGTGGAAGCCACCATCATGGTGTATGCCACCATCACCTCCCAGCTGCTGCCCACTCCAGCCAAGTCTCACTACACCTTCAACCTGAGGGACCTTTCCAAGGTCTTCCAGGGCATGCTCATGGCTGACCCAGCCAAGGTCGAGGTGAGGATCTGACAGGCACCCTTCCCAGTGCCCACACTGCCCTAACCACCCTCCCTGGTCCCACCAATTTCAGGCCTTCCTGGCCCAAACAGGCCTTGAGGAGGCTGGGACATGTGAGTGCCAGGTGGCCCTCAAGAGGCCAGCCTTGGCGCAGATGAGCCCTATCTTTCAGGTGAAACCCATGCCTGGATGGGAGTCACACAAAAGAAGGAGCCAGACAAGACAAGGGAGAAAGAGGGTGTCTGGTGGAGGCCCTGTGTGTGAGAAGACTTGAAAGGACAGGAAGTGGGGTATTCTCTGAGAACCAAAGACACTCAGGTGGAAGGAACAGGAATGTAGTGGGTAGTGGAGTGTCAGGTGCACTGGATAGGCGTGGACCACACATGGGGGGCTGTGAGCATAGCGCTCGAATTTTGTCCTGAGGGTGATGGGGAGTCATGGGGGCAGGTGCGGGACAGACCTGTATTTTGGAATGGGACTGGATGGCCAGTGGTGTGGAGCTCAGGAGTGGGGAGATGGGGTGAACAGGATAGAAGTCAGCCCTGGTCCTGTAGTTAAGAGAGTCAAGAGAAAAGCTTGGGGCTTCCTCAGGGCAGTCCAGTCACCCAGAAAGGGGCAGGGATGCTGGGACAGAGGTGGCAACAGAGATGGAGACATAGGACAGATCCAAGATTTGTGGGTCATGTCAGTGGAGCCTGGTGAGTGGATAGGGATTGATGGAGTGTGGTAGGGTGGGATTTGGTGGGGAGAGTGTCAGGAAGGTAGTAAAAGAATCAGACATCCCTTACAGTCTTGTGGCGAGGGGAGCCATGAAGCCTAAAAGAGGGGGAAGTGATGACTTTGAGGTGCTTGGGACCAGCTGGTGGAGCTGGGCACCCAGAGGGCACTTGGCCAACTGGACCTGGAGGTGGGGCATGGGAGAACCCCAGACAGCACCATGCAATTCATTCGGTCCTTAGTCTGCCAGTAGACGCACCTGCCAACAGCTCCTGGGCATGGCCCTGGCCAGGTTGTGGTGGGAGAACTAGGCCCAGGTCAGGGACCCAGGAGCTGTGGCCCAACCATCTTGAGAGATGGCTGAGGGTCCCAGAGTGGATGTTGGGCACTGATGCTGGGGCTGTTGCAGGACAAGGTGCAGCTGCTCCGACTATGGTATCATGAGAACTGCCGCGTGTTCCGTGACCGACTGGTAAATGAGGAGGACCGCAGCTGGTTTGACAAGCTCCTCAAGAACCACATGGAGGAGTGGGAGGTGGCCTTTGACAAGGTCTGTCCCTTCCAGCCCATTCTTTACGGGGACTTCATGTCGCCAGGCTCTGACATCAAGTCCTATGAGCTCATCACCAGTGAGAATAAGGTGAGGAGCTCGGGTAGGCACCCTGCCCCGGTAAGGTCTGCTCCAATCTGCTCCCCTGGGGCCCAGGCCCTCTGCAGTTACCACTAACAGACTACCATACTAAATCAGAGTTTCCAGACACTGGGTTAGAACGCCAGTATGGGGACTTCCAGCAAGTATTTGTTCTGAGTCCTCATTTGCTCACCTGTCGAATGGTTGCAGCCAGCAGCCCATGCTTGGCCCATCTCTGAGGACAAGCCTGTGCAGAGGGCTTGGGCATGGAGAGGTTCAGGCAGCACCCTACAGTTCACTGAGTCCTTTGTCAGCAGATGCACCTGCCAGCAGGCTCTGCACATGGCCTTGACTGGGCTGTGCTTCAACTGAGACAGGCTCTGTAAACTAGGAGGGGCTATCATCCCACTAAAGAGGGGCAGCAGGGATCCTAAGACCACAGGTGTCAGTCAGGATCCCAAAGAGGCAGGGAAGAATCTTCAATCAGTGGCCTCAGAGCTGCAGGGCTGAAGTGGGCCTCCTGACAGTGTCTCTGCACAGATATCCTCTCTAGCTCCCAGGAGCACTCACCAGGGCCCCAGAGTCAAATAGCCTGGTAAGCCCCAGAAGGAGCAGGCAGGGCTCTGACCCTGACCCTTGGGCTTCTGTGTTCATTCAGTCAGACCTAACTTTTTTTTTCTTTTTTTGAGTTGGAGTCTTACTCTGTCGCCCAGGCTGGAGTGCAGTGGCACACTCACGGCCACCCCAGTGCCGACCTGCTGGGCTCAGGTGATCCTTCCGCCTCAGCCTTCCAAGTAGCTGGCACTACAGATGCATACTACCATGCCCAGCTAAAGACCTAACTTCTTAAGGCCCCACATTGCTACATGCACAGGAGGAACAGGACCAGCCATGGGATGGGTGGTGAGCCTCTGTCAGGGAGGGCCCTGGTACATGATGTTCTGACCAGCCAAGCCCATGACTAGAGTCACCCCAAAAGTAGCAGCAGGCAACTCCCCACAAGAGACTGCCCCAAACCAACGCTAGACGGGGCCAGTTGAGATTCCAAAGGAAAAAGCACTCCCTGCTGGATGATCAATCCAAAGTGGTTATCAGAGAACTTACATACAGAGAGAAGACAAGGGATGTTCTACCTACATGTGTCTGCAACTGGGGGCAGGGGTGTTACGGAGTCCATATGAGGGTCTCAGGAATTTGGCTGGGTGGAGGTGCTTCTACATGTTTAGCAACATGGTTGATCCCTCAATGTTTTCAGCAGTGACCTAAACAAGTTTGTCAGTATCTGGGAATGTTCAAGGCCCCAGCTTGGCTTGGGGTCAAGCCTGCAGAGGAGCATATGTAGCTGGCCAGGTCACAGAGCAGTCACGGCACTCTGTGTTCCAGGGTCAGGACAGAGAACCTGGGGGAGCTGGGAGATCCTGTAGTGGGAAAGACCTTGCTCTCCCCATCTCCGCCCTGATCCCAGATGATGCAGGTGATCGAGGAGTACATGGAGGACTACAACCAGATCAACACAGCCAAGCTGAGGCTGGTCCTCTTCATGGACGCCATGAGCCACATCTGCCGCATCAGCCGCACCCTGCGCCAGGCGCTGGGCAATGCGCTCCTGCTGGGCGTGGGCGGCAGCGGCCGCAGCTCCCTCACGCGGCTCGCCTCACACATGTGAGACCCCCAGGCATGGTGGGCAGTGGGTGGCTGGTGGCGGACCTGCCCTGCCCCTGGGCTTCTAGCAGGACTGGAAACTGAGGAGAGGCAGGAGCAGTGCCCTGTGGGGCTGTGGGGAGACAGGTGTAGCTGCAGGCACCCCGAGGGATCAGTAGGGGAAGTAGCCAGGGGTTGCTCTCAGAATTGGAGCTGGGATGATGGACGGGAAGGGCATTCCAGGCTGAGGGAACAGCTCGAGCAAAGGTCTGGAGGTAAGAGAGCAGGTTCAGGGCCTGGCAGGTCTGCAGTCTGCCTGGGATGGGAGCAAGACTCCAGATGGTTGGGGCAGACCTTCTGTACATGGCCCCAAGCCCCTGGCATACCTCAATCCTGCCTCCAGGGCCGAATATGAGTGCTTCCAGATTGAGCTATCCAAGAACTACGGCATGTCCGAGTGGCGTGAAGATGTCAAGAAGGTCCTGCTCAAGGCGGGCTTGCAGAGCTTGCCCATCACCTTCCTGTTCTCAGACACTCAGGTGCCACCACCACGGTAGAGGACAGAGATCAGGCGGGCTGGACACAACCTCATCCCAGTGTAGCATCCTTGAAGAGGTGGTCAGTCCATTGTGCCCAGCTCACTGTCATGGGGGTAGATCTCAGAAGGGATCGCTGGGACCAGGTGGGGCCATAGATGGGCAGGTCAGAAGTATGGGGCCAAATCCAACTTCTCAGAGCTAAGGGGGACATAGAGCATTACCCATGCCCCAAGAGTAAAGAAGGCCTCAGTACCATGTCACACCACTCACTAGCTGATGGCTTCCTACCTCAAGGACCACAGGACTTGTGCCCAAAGTGCTGGGGACCCACGACTCTCCTTTTGCAGGCTGTTTCCTCTGTGTCTTCCTAGGTGTGAGGCCTCTCCCCATGTCTCTGAGGACAGAAGTTGTTGCTCTGGGCTCACAAGACTCACAAGACAATAAAGCAGCACTTAAACCTGGCTGGTGGTCAGGGTTGGACCCAAAGGCCTAGGCTGAAAGCCCAGAATGTGCCCTACCCTGGACGAAGCACCTTCTGTTCCCAGCCCTATTCCAACCCTAGGGCTTCCTTCAAGCAGCCACTGAGTTGGTCAGGAAAGTGAGAATGCCCCCTGACATAAGTCAGGCCTGGGCTATATGAGATGGGCAAGGATCCATCTCTGCCTGTGGCCTTGATTTCCTCTTGTGAGTAAACTGAGGCATGGAGTGAGACCTGGAAGTGAGAAGTAAGATGCCACATCCCTCACTTAGGACCCAGGGCCCTACCACAGGCCACTGGTTATGTTCAGAGGCTCTGCATCGGGGATAGGCCTGGGTGCAAGTCCAAGACTATGACTATGAGGTCCCTCAAGAGGTTACTTGTATGATCCTGGACTTCTCTGAGTCTTGGTGGCATGGTCTGTCAAACAGGGCTGTTGTAAAAGTCCGGTGAGACTGTGCCAATGGGGTCTAACATGCAGACTTCCCTCATGCTTATTCCCTCCCCAGATCAAGAATGAATCCTTCCTGGAGGACATCAACAATGTCCTAAACTCGGGCGACATTCCCAACCTCTATACCACGGAAGAGCAGGACCAGATCATCAACACCATGCGGCCCTATATCCAGGAGCAGGGTCTGCAGCCCACCAAGGCCAACCTCATGGCTGCCTACACTGGGCGTGTGCGCAGCAACATCCACATGGTACTGTGCATGAGGTACAGACAGCTGTTACTGGGCATGCTGGGGCAGCAGGTGGTAGGTGGGGCTGGTCCCAGGGACACAAGAGGCCTTGACCCTGAGATGAGGAGAAGTGGCCTGGGGCCTGGTCACCATGCCACTGGGCCCAGGCAGCCTGTATTGATGCACCTTGGCGGCCATGCCACAGGGCTATGCAAGGGTCCTGGGTCCGGGGCTCCTAGGGGTCTCATCAGTATCTTTGGGCCTCATTGGATTCCTGGTTTCCCAGCCCCATTGGAGAGGTCTTCCGAGCTCGCCTGCGGCAGTTCCCCTCCCTGGTCAACTGCTGTACCATTGACTGGTTTAACGCATGGCCAGCAGAGGCCCTGGAGTCTGTGGCCACCATGTTCCTAAATGAGATCCCAGAACTGGAATCCTCCTCTGAAGTAATTGAAGGACTGGTAGGTGTCTTGGTGAGGAGCAAGCCCTCAGGAGGGAACTGTTTAGTTTTGGGCTTGGGCTCAGGGCTTTTGGGTGAGTCCCAGGCCCATCACTGAGGGTAGGTCAGACAGCTTTACCTATCAAAGTCTGTTTCCTCATCTGTAAAATAGGCAATGCCACAGGTCATCATGGTGACATAGCATGCTGGGTACATAGCTACATGGTTGTTATTGCCCTTATTCCCTGAGGGCCTCATGGCAGCTTTCTTCTAAAAGATTCTGACACAACTCCAGAAACCACAGAAGGAGTGGATTTTTCTGGTCCAATCCAAGAAAGTGATGATCATGGGGATGGGGGGACAGGAGCTAGGTTGAACTCAACATTTCCCTGCCCAGCTGTGCTGAGGTTTTATATCCTCTCTCCCCCTAGATCCAGCCTCCAAAGAGGGCACCACCCTAAGGCTCTCATAGAGAGAGGAAGGTCATGGGGGCTATGACAGGGATACTGGGCCAAGAGCTGGGAGACACCCAGGTCAACCTTCAAAGACAGCTCTACTCTTGACAGCTACTCTTCTGCTGTGTGAATTTGAACAGCCCCTGACTTCTCTGGGCCTTGGGCTTTTCATCTTCATAAAAGGTGACCTTTACCTGGAGGTTGTGAGAATCATAGAGTGTGAGAGGTAGGCAGTTTCCTGCCATGGCTCCCTCCTCAGGACCAGGCTGCAGTGGCTTCACGGACGCCTGGTGCCCTGTGTTTGCTGGAACCTCTACCAGGCCAGCATCAGTGGTCTCTCTCCCACAGATTCAGGTCTGCGTGTATATCCACCAGTCAGTGTCCAAGAAGTGTGTTGTGTACCTGGCAGAGCTGGCCCGCCACAACTATGTGACCCCCAAGAGTTACTTGGAGCTACTCAATATTTTCTCCATCCTCATCGGGCAGAAAAGACTGGAGCTGAAAACTGCCAAGAACCGCATGAAGAGTGGCCTCGACAAGGTGGGCCTGGGTGAGGCCTTGTGGACAACTGTTAACTGCCTGTGGTCCTTCCCGCTTGGTCTTAGCCCTGATGCCAGAGTGACCCAGCCAGCTTTTCAAATCTCAGCCTGCGATGTTTGAATGGGTAGCTTCCCTGCTCACCGAAAGAACAAAAGTTGCCAGCCAAGGGCCAGGCCAAAGCAGAGCACCCCACAGATTCTTGGAGGACTGAACCCCTTTCTCTAGGGTCCACTGGGCAGCTGGAGGCCACTAATGCTGCTGGCCACGGCTTCTCTCTCATCAGTGAGGGCAGTCCAGCAGGCCTGGCTCTCTCTCTTCTCTGTCACACCTGTTTTCCTCTCTGTGCCCCCAAACCCCAGCTACTGCGCACTTCTGAGGACGTGGCCAAGATGCAGGAGGAGCTGGAGGTTATGCGCCCCCTGCTGGAGGAGGCTGCCAAGGACACCATGCTCACCATGGAGCAGATCAAGGTTGGGGGTGCTCCCGGGCCCCCCCATGCCTGACTCTGTCTGGGGATGCTCTGCATTGCCACATCATTGCAAGATCACTAGCTGCCTGACCACTACAAGCTGTTTAGCCTCTGTGGGCTCAGGTTCCTCACTTAGTAGTCATCATTTATTCATTGAATGTTGGTCTGTGACAGGCATTGCACTGGGAGGGGGATTGGCGAAGAGCAAGGCAGAGGAATCCAAACAACCCAAACAATGCCGATCATCACAGCATGGATTGGGTGGTAGGGCTGCTGCAGATGGGTGTGCAGATTCTGCACAGCAGGAAGCCCCGCATTTGAGAGCCTGAGCCTCACGGCAGACATCGCAGATTTATGTATTCATTATGACAGCTTTCTGGCAGAAGCAGTCAAGTGTCCTGCTCTGCAGAGTCAGTGCATTGCAAATTTTTCCAGCAGATAGAAAGAAACCAGAAGAAAGGCAGGAGGAAGCCCTTTCTCTGTCTTGCATGAAGGTGCCTGTGGGCTTAGGGGGCTCTACCCTGTGGGGCACTTATGCTCACACTTGTAAAGCCGTGAGCCCCTTGTCCGGCCTGTGGTAAGCACTCAGGATGTGGAAGGGGCTCCTGGTGTTTCAAGATCTGTATGGCCTATCACAGCTAGAAGGCCCTTGGAGAGAACAGGATGCCCCAACACTTATATCCTTCCGTCTGGGGAAGCTATGATGCAGAGAGGAGAAAGAGGAGGGCATGCTTGCACCTGCCGCTGGCCACCAACTGGGCTCTCCCTGCCTCCCATCCCCCAGGTGGATACGGCCATCGCTGAGGAGACCCGGAATTCAGTGCAGGCAGAGGAAATCAAGGCCAACGAGAAGGCCAGGAAGGCACAAGCTATCGCCGATGATGCCCAGAAGGACCTGGATGAGGCACTGCCAGCCTTGGATGCGGCACTGGCCAGCCTGCGCAACCTCAACAAGAACGACGTGACAGAGGTGGGAAGCCAGACACTTCCTGGCACTCCCTCTCATATCCCTCTCTGGTGTTCTCCTGGGTCCTTGTCCCCAGGCCCTCCCTGTGCACGTCCCTTGGGGACATGTGCCAAGAGGAGAGGGCATAACTTGGGCTAAAACCCAGCCCCCAGGGCCCAGGCAGGAGCATGGGCACCTGGGAGAGTAGGAGGAGCCCCAGCAAAGGCTGACCTCAGGGACTTGGTTAGTGGGACCAGCCTTTCTGCAGCGTCCCTGCACAGGGTTGCCCACTCAGTGATGGACCTTCCTGCCTGTGGCTGGGCCGGCAGGTGCGTGCCATGCAGCGGCCTCCCCCAGGCGTGAAGTTAGTCATAGAAGCCGTGTGCATCATGAAGGGCATCAAGCCCAAGAAGGTACCTGGAGAGAAGCCGGGCTCCAAGGTGGACGACTACTGGGAGCCAGGCAAGGGGCTGCTGCAGGACCCAGGGCGCTTTCTTGAGAGCCTCTTCAAGTTTGACAAGGTGAGCATGCCAGGCACCCTGTCCAGCCAGTGCGTGAGGACAGGGCTCAGCAGAGCAGTGAAGCCAAAGAGCATATGCTGTGGTCTCTGTCTCATCTGTCTCCATCCACCTCACCACTGCCAGCACCACACGTGGTCCTGAGGGCCACACAGCTAACTTGACCCAGAGCCTGGCCCCAAGGAGCTCTTGGTCTGGTGGGGCGACAGACTGACCCACCAACGGAAGGGTATTGAGGACATTAGGACCTGGGCAGGCTCCTGTGCCCTGTATCACCCACAGTCATTCCAAAGCTTTTCAACCTGAAGAATCTTTTTCATGCCTTTCCCTCCCTGTGATCCCCAGGCCTTGGCCAAGACCATCATCATCTGCTCAGTCATCACCTCTCTCCCTCAGCCTCAGCTTCCCTGTTTCTGTGTTTCTCAGTCTGTCCATCTGGAGCTGTCAGTGTCCATGGGCATGTACTTACTCAAGGGCTATGCCATGGTTAGGTTAGCCTGGAGTCCACAGCCCCTTTGGAGGGGCCCTCTGCAGTCCAGAAGTGGGCCAGGGGCCTTGCCTATCCCACACAGGCCACGGCCCACCACCATGTGTTGGTGTCTGTGCCCTGGGCACTTCCCATACCCATTTCAGCAGCAGCTGGACCCCCTATGAACTTCCCCATCCTCTTCATCTCCCATCAGATCAAAGGCCTTACAGGCCTGATGAAGCCCCTCTGAGAGACTCCGCAAGGCCAGGAGTGCTCACGACCAGTGCTCAGGCTTCCCTGGGCCCAAGCCATGGCCTCTGGGTGCTCATGAGCAATGCAAATGCCAGGGCCCATCATGAACTACAGAGCAGGACAAGAGCCCTGTAGGTGTGGTAGGCTTTTGGGGTAGGAACATCACCCTTGATCATGAGCCTGGTTGGGTAAGAACCACTTACTCATCTCTGCACTTGCTGATGGTATTGCTTTAAGGCAGCAGGCTTTGTCTTTAAATAAGCTTTTAAATGGGGCCTTGTGTATTATCAGATCTCTAGGCCACCATAGCATCCCCACAAAGAACTCTGTAATTATATTATCTGAAATCCTGGGGACAGAGAAGTTCCTTTCCTAGCCAACCTTTCTGGGCTATGCTGCTCCTTCAGGAGGACATCTATGCTGAGGTCTGCACAGGACATGCAGCATAAAGCAGGATCAGGGTTCCTCAGCAGGCCCCACCTCCCAGCAGAGCCCTTCCCCTGTCACCCTTGGGAAGCAGTCTCTTGAGGCCCAGGGTTCCCATCCCAGGACAACATTGGGGATGTGGTGATCAAAGCCATCCAGCCGTACATCGACAATGAAGAGTTCCAGCCAGCAGCCATTGCCAAGGTGTCCAAGGCCTGCACCTCCATCTGCCAGTGGGTGCGCGCCATGCACAAGTACCACTTCGTGGCCAAGGCCGTGGAGCCCAAGCGGGTGAGGGCTGAGTGGAGCTGGTGGGGGTAGGCTCCCCTCCTTAAGGTACTCGGCAAGCTAGCCCTTCACTCTCCACCTGCAGCAAGCCCTGCGGGAGGCCCAGGACGACCTGGAGGTGACACAGAGGATCCTGGAGGAGGCGAAGCAGCGCCTGCGTGAGGTAGAGGATGGCATTGCCATTATGCAGGGCAAGTACCGAGAATGCATCGCTAAGAAGGAGGAACTGGAGCTGAAGTGTGAGCAGTGTGAGCAGCGGCTGGGCCGTGCCGACAAGGTATGCACCCTCTTTCAGCAAGGCCTGAGGCTGTGCCAGGCCCAGATAGGGTGTGGATGGGTCCTGGGGCCGCTGCCCACACCCTCCCCGGCAGTCCCTGGGGCTGCAGCGAGCAGGGTCAGCCCCAGGCCCCCAGCCCAGCCTCCCAGAACCCACTCCATGGGGCTGCCTCTGCAGCTCATCAACGGGCTGTCGGATGAGAAGGTGCGCTGGCAGGAGGCAGTGGAGAACCTGGAATACACACTCAACAACATCGCTGGTGATGTGCTGGTGTCCGCTGGCTTTGTGGCCTACCTGGGCCCCTTCACGGTAAGGAGTCTCAGCTCTGCCTCTGACCCGCCTCCCAAAGAGGCCCTTCCTCGAGGCCTCACCTCCATGAGGGGCAGTCTACAGGGTAGCTCTTCCCTCACTCAGTCACTCAACAAGCACTTCTCAAGCACCCTCTTCTGAGCCAGGCGCTCTAAGGCACAAGGGATACAGATGTGCAAAAACAGCCAGAAAACCCACCTAGGGAGAAAACAAGCGCTCACACTTCTGCCTTACAGTTGCAAACACTCCATCTGTGTATTCCATTTAATCCTCACAACTGCCCTTTCAGGTGAGCATTGTTAGCATTTCCCCTGCTCCACAGATGAGGGGCTGAGGTTTGTGGAGGCCAAGGGACTCACCCAAGGTGGGACTAGAACACAGATGTCTAGTCAGGCTCTACTCTGAGCTCTGACTTTTGTGTGCAACTGCTGAGTGCTGTGGTGTAGTGGGGGTGGGGAGGGCCCCGTGGGTGTTGTGGTGGGGTGGTCCTGAGCCTGACATCTCCTCAGGGCCAGTACCGCACAGCACTTTATGACAGCTGGGTCAAGCAGCTTACGACCTGCAATGTCCCGCACACCTCTGAGCCTACACTAATTGGGACGCTGGGGAACCCTGTGAAGATCCGCTCATGGCAGGTGTGTCTCCTGGGGGCAGAAGTGACCAGGCAGGGCCTATAGTATGGCCCACGTTGGGCCAGGAGCCGCCTATCTTCCTCTCATCCTCCTTTCTGGGGCCTGGCTTGAGGCTACCTTGGCTGAACCCTCCCAGACCCAGCAAGAGTATAGTAGGTAGGAGAGGAGGAGAAAGGTAGGCTGAGTGTGTCACAGATGCTGGATAAATGTGGGAGACGGCTTTCAGGGGTACTTTTAAGACTTGGGCGGTGGAGGTTGGGGAGTAGTGTCAAGAGGGCTAAGAAAGGTTTCCAAAAAGAAATCATGTCTGAGTCAGACCCTGAAGGGTAGAATATTTGGCAAAGGAAGTGAACAAAGAGGCTGTGAGCAGAGGCCAAGTGTGAGCAAAAGCCTGGAGAGTGGATGGGTAATGGGTGCCATGAACATGGTCTCACTTAGAGAGCACTCAGAGGGCAAGAAGACAGAAAGACCCAGCGAAGGAGGGCATCAGGAACCAGCCCAGGAGGCGAGAAGCAGGAGTCCCTAGGTGCTGAGTCCTTGCCCACATTGTGGCCTGCCCCCCACCTCCAAGGGGGTGCAGTCAGGAGCAGCAGGAAGTCCATCGCCAAAGCACAAAGCCAGGAGTAGCTGATGCCCCAGGTGACCCTGCTTGTAGGAGAGCCCTGGTCCAGTCTAGCGCCTGGCCCTCCACAGATTGCTGGCCTCCCCAACGACACACTGTCAGTGGAGAATGGGGTAATCAACCAGTTCTCCCAGCGCTGGACCCACTTCATCGACCCTCAGAGCCAGGCCAATAAATGGATCAAAAACATGGTGAGTCCACCCGCCAGCACCGTTACCCACCTCTCCAGCTAGGCTTAGCAGGGGCAGGAGGAGCAGTTGAGACTCAGACGGGATATCAGCCCTCACAATCCCTACCTGACCCCTTCCCTGCAGGAGAAGGACAATGGGCTGGACGTGTTTAAGTTGAGTGACCGCGACTTCCTGCGTAGCATGGAGAACGCCATCCGCTTTGGCAAGCCATGTCTTCTGGAGAATGTAGGCGAGGAGCTGGACCCAGCCCTGGAGCCTGTGCTGCTCAAGCAGGTGGGCGTGTGGGGGGAGGGGAGGTATCTGTAGGCCTGGACAAGGGAAAGGGCAGCCCCATCCCCTGCTACAGTGGTGAAGCCCAGGCCACAGCACCTGCCTGTCCCACCTGCCACAGACATACAAGCAGCAGGGGAACACGGTGCTGAAGCTAGGGGACACAGTGATCCCCTACCATGAGGACTTCAGGATGTACATCACCACCAAGCTACCCAACCCACACTACACGCCTGAGGTCTCCACCAAACTCACCCTAATCAACTTTACCTTGTCGCCCAGGTAAGCCCCCATCCCTTGCAACTCCTAAGCACCAGCTCTGCCTCCACCTGCCTGGCTGCCCCTCTCCTACCCACAGGCTAGGACTCAGATACTTTCCCCCACTCAAAGGCTCTGCCCATTCCCTCCCAGGAACTCTGCCATTCTTGGCCTTTCTAGCCCTTCCACCAGCTCTTCTTACCTGCCAGCGTTTCTATCTAAGAACCCATGCACCCAGCTGATCTGAAACCCTGGTCAGGGGCCACAGCCTCCCTGGCCAGCACCAGTCTCACCTCCTCCAGGCACCCCTCTCCAGCTCAGCTCTTGCAGAACCCTGTGCCCTCACCCCTCAAGCTGTCCCAGAGCCCTGAGTCAGGCACACTCTGGCTCCCTGCACCCCAGCCCTGCTTCCTACCCTTGCTTCATAAGCCCAGGCACTATGACTTTTGCTGGCCATTCATACAGAGCCCACACCCACAGGCCTGCTTCATACTAAGGTCTCTATTTCAGTGGCCACTGTGAACTTCTCCACAAACCAAGGGATGAAAGCATCCTTAAGGTCTGTCCATATGGGTCACCTATAGCCCTCTCCAGCTGGGGAGGTGTTGTCCACATCTAACTAGCCAACCCCTACTAGGATTCCAGGCTGCCAAATAAGCACTGGTGACTTTGAAGGCAGGCTTTGCACTAGCCCTGCAGCCTGAGACAGAGGCTCAGGAGCATAGGTAGGTAGGTGAGCAGGCTCAAGGCTGGCCCTCCAGGGCCCACCAGCCATTATAGGCATGGTGTTCCCTGCCTCTGGCAGTGGCCTAGAGGACCAGCTACTGGGCCAGGTAGTGGCTGAGGAGCGACCTGATCTGGAAGAAGCCAAGAACCAGTTGATTATCAGTAATGCCAAGATGCGTCAGGAGCTGAAAGATATTGAAGACCAGATTCTGTACCGGCTCAGCTCCTCCGAGGGCAACCCTGTGGATGACATGGAGCTCATCAAGGTGCTGGAGGCTTCCAAGATGAAGGCTGCTGAGATCCAGGTCGGCCACAGCTCAACCACCCCACCTACCCCGGGCCTGCCCCTGGCCTCTCCCCATCTGCCCCTGCCCCCACCCACCTCTGCCTTCTGCTGTTTGCCAGCCTACCTGGGCCTGACTCCTCCCCCACCAAACCTCCAGGCCAAAGTCAGGATTGCAGAGCAGACAGAGAAGGACATTGACCTCACGCGCATGGAGTACATACCTGTGGCCGTCCGCACCCAGATCCTCTTCTTTTGTGTGTCTGACCTGGCCAATGTGGACCCCATGTACCAGTACTCCCTTGAGTGGTTTCTCAACATCTTCCTCTCAGGCATCGCCAACTCAGAGAGGGCAGGTAGTGCTGGCATGAGGGCATACCAGGCTCCCACCCCGTATGGACACATTTCCACTGTGGGGCATACACATGTAAACTTGTGCTCACGTTCACTGGTATATACTCTCACATCAGACTTGTGATACATAAGAAGACACACCACTCCCTACTCTTCTTGGGGCTCCTTCCCTGGAAACATGACATGCCCCAAGGGGAGGCCCAGGCTGCCCCTTTGGCTACTGGGGAGGCCGGTCAGGCTGGGCTGCACCCCAAGGACCTGCCTTCCTCTCTCCTCTCCCCATACTCTGTCATCACTCTCTATCCTGTAGACAACCTGAAGAAGCGCATCTCCAACATCAACCGCTACCTGACCTACAGTCTCTATAGCAACGTGTGCCGCAGCCTCTTTGAGAAGCACAAGCTGATGTTTGCCTTCCTGCTGTGTGTCCGCATCATGATGAATGAGGGCAAGATCACCCAGGTACATGGGCAGAGCGATGGCCAGGTGGGCAGCCGACCCAGGACAGTCTGCCTGAGGGGCTGCCCTGTTGCAGGACCTAAGAACAGGGTACAAGGGAAGGGCAAGCCAGGCATGAGGGCATGGCAAGGGCAAAGGGGCAGAGGAAGCAACTCCTTGGTTAAAAACAGCCAGAAGACCCTGAGTTGATTGTGGCCCATTGAGGGGCCCATTGAGGGTTGTGAGCACAGGCCTTCTCAGAGCCTTGAATGTGCTGGTGAGCACAGAGACTGTCCCCAGGACAGACTGTCCTTAGCCTCCCTTACCTGCTTGGCCAGGAGACCATACTCTCATGAAACCCCAGGTATTTCATGGTGCATTGGAGAGCCCTGCCAAGATAATGAGAGTGGCAGCCACCACTGCTCAAGCCCTACCTATGTGCCAGACACTGGACTTTGGCTAGGGAAGCTGAGTTCTGATTATTCTCACTTTCCAAATAAGGAGACGGAGACTCAGAGAGGGCATACAACCAGGAAAAGGCAGAGTGGGGACACTGACCAGACCTTTAGTTAAGCTACCACCTCCAAGGGGGGACTCAGTTGCTTTCGGTCAGCATTGTAGGAGAGGCACTGCTAGGTGGGGATGCCCAGAGGAAGGGAGAAGCTGGCCACAGGACCTGGGCACCAGCCTCCCTCTGTCCCCTGCCAGAGTGAGTGGCGCTACCTCCTGTCTGGAGGCTCCATCCAGATGGTGACTGAGAATCCAGCTCCAGACTGGCTGTCAGACCGGGCCTGGCGAGACATCCTGGCACTCTCAAACCTGACAACCTTTTCCTCCTTCTCTTCTGACTTTGTGAAGCACCTCTCAGAATTCCGGATCATTTTCGACAGCCTGGAGCCCCATCGGTTAGCTGGGTCCCAATGGCAAGATAGGCACATCAAGGGATGACACCCTAGGAAAAGGCTGGCCCAGGAGCCTTCTCTGAGAGGCCACCCAAGATTGCCCTGAAGCTGCGGCCACATCTTTTTGGTGCCTCCAATGCTGTACCCCTGGGATGCCCCACTCTCCCCTGCCATCCAGCCTGCAGAATCCCTGGGGCCAATGATCTGCTATAAGCTGGCTCTCATGGAGATATGGGCACTGTTGCAGGGAGCCCTTGCCTGGAATCTGGAACCAGTACCTAGACCAGTTCCAGAAGCTGCTAGTCCTCCGCTGCCTGCGTGGGGATAAGGTTACCAACGCCATGCAAGACTTTGTGGCCACCAACCTGGAGCCACGCTTCATTGAGCCCCAGGCAAGTGCTAGCACCCAGGCAGAACTGACACCCTGGGTTAGTCCCCATCCTGGGTCCCAGGGCCCTGGCTGCACCTAGATAGACTACTCTGCAGCCCTGGTCAATCCAGGACTCCTGCCCACTCCCTAAAGGCTCTGGGAGGTTTCTGACCTCATCAGGAATCCCTTCTGGGACCTCTCTGCAAACCCAAGGATCCTCCCCTCTGCCCTGGTCCCAGTGTCTCTTCAGCCCCAGGTGGTCCCAGCATCTCTTTCTGCCCTCACAGACAGCCAACCTGTCAGCGGTGTTCAAAGACTCCAACTCCATCATACCCCTCATCTTTGTGCTGTCACCTGGCACAGACCCCGCTGCCGACCTCTACAAGTTTGCCGAAGAAATGAAGTTCTCCAAGAAACTCTCAGCCATCTCCCTGGGCCAGGGGCAAGTAAGAACTAGGCAGGGAGGAAGGGAATGGGTGGGGGGCGGGGATTGGAGCCAGCTGTTCCCCCACACTCAGTGCTCCCACCCCATAGGGCCCTCGGGCAGAAGCCATGATGCGCAGCTCCATAGAGAGGGGCAAGTGGGTCTTCTTCCAGAACTGCCACCTGGCACCAAGCTGGATGCCAGCCCTAGAACGCCTCATCGAGCACATCAACCCTGACAAGGTGCATTACCCTGCCCATCACAGACCCACTGGGATCGCCTCTGCTGAAGGGATTACTGGTACATTCATCAGGGACTAATGAGGCTTAAATAAAATAAACATGCAAAGCACTCAGTCCAGCCTCAAGCACTCAGTGACAGCAAGTTCTCAGTGACCGACACACATACCACACATCGATTAGATTAATCTTCTCAATGGCTTCCTGAGTTACGTGTACAAGTGGTGATGTGACTTGCCCAGGGCCACCCAGCACAGACCAGTGGCCCTGGGACTTGCCAAAGCCTATATTCTTAGTCAATTGTCCATGCAGCCTTTCCAGGGATGGAGTCAGACTGAGGGTGGGCCCAAGGTCCCTGGGGAGGAGGGACCCTGGTGTTGGAGCAGCCAGCTGGTATGGGTTCCGATGCTCATGTGGAGCATGGCCACCAGGTGCACCGGGACTTCCGCCTGTGGCTCACCAGTCTCCCCAGCAACAAGTTCCCAGTGTCCATCCTGCAGAACGGCTCCAAAATGACAATTGAGCCACCACGTGGTGTCAAGGCCAATCTGTTGAAGTCCTACAGCAGCCTCAGTGACGACTTCCTCAACTCCTGTCACAAGGTGAGACACATGTGGTACATGCCCACCCTACCTGCCCCCATGCTTACCCCTCACATCCACATCCCTGCCCCCCACCTCCTGCAGGTGATGGAATTCAAGTCCCTGCTGCTGTCTCTGTGCCTGTTCCATGGGAACGCCCTGGAGCGCCGCAAGTTTGGGCCTCTGGGCTTCAACATCCCCTACGAGTTCACGGATGGAGACCTGCGCATCTGCATCAGCCAGCTCAAGATGTTCTTAGACGAATATGATGACATCCCCTACAAGGTGGGCCAGGGACAGGCTGGGGCCAGGGGCTCGGGCACTCCTGCGGGCCCCTCACCCACCCACCCCGTAGGTCCTCAAGTACACGGCAGGGGAGATCAACTATGGGGGCCGCGTCACTGACGACTGGGACCGGCGCTGTGTCATGAACATCCTGGAGGACTTCTACAACCCCACCGTGCTCTCCCCGGAGCACAGCTACAGCTCCTCAGGTGTCTACCACCAGATCCAACCCACCTATGACCTCAACGTGAGTCCACCCCCAAGGGCAGTACGGGAGGGGGCCTGCCCAGTTAGGGTCCTGGGATGCCATGAACACCTTGGTGCTGGATGAGAGGAGACACAGCCCTGCTCTCCAACAACTTCTCTCCCCTTGGCCCCTTGACCAATCCATCCTGCAAAGACAGCCATGGTGAGGGAGGTGGAGTCAGTACCTGCCCCTGAGCTCAGCTTTGTGGGGAGAGAACTAGGCTTGGGGTAGCTCCTTTAACACAGTAGCCAAGCCCAGACTATGCAGTCATGGAGAATTTGCTGAGGAAATAAGACCTCCCCTAGGATGTGTGGGGAGAAGTCACGGGCTATGGCTGGGTTGGGTGTGTCATCAATGCAAAGGGCCTGTGGCAGGAGGCAATGTGACAGGTCTGGGCTGTGGCATGGAGAAGCAGGGAGTGGATGCCATTGAGAAGGGGGCAGGAAGGGAAGCAAGGACCATACAACAGTGCCTCGGAGGCCTGAAGTCCTAGGAACAGGAAGATGCATAGGGTTATAGCCAGGGTGACGAGTGGGAGATGTGCCAAGGTGAGGGGAGAGCAAGGCAGGGGCTTCAGTTTTAGCCCTCCTGACTCCTAGGGCTATCTCACCTACATCAAGAGCCTCCCACTCAATGATATGCCTGAGATCTTTGGCCTGCATGACAACGCCAACATCACCTTCGCCCAGAATGAGACATTTGCCCTGCTGGGAACCATTGTCCAGCTGCAACCCAAATCATCCTCTGTAGGAGGCCAGAGCCACGAGGAGGTAGGTAGTGTTGGGGAAGGGGCCTAAGGCTGGACGGGACTGTGCTCCACCATCCTGCTTGCTTCCCTGTGGGAAGGAGCTCTGTACGTGGAATCCTACAGGGGCCAAGAGGAGCCAGCCCTGACCCCAATGTCTCTTTGCCTCTGCAGATAGTAAAGGATGTGGCCCAGAACATTCTCTTGAATGTGCCTGAGCCTGTCAACGTGAAATGGGTGATATCCAAGTACCCCGTGCTATATGAGGAATCAATGAACACAGTGCTAGTACAAGAGATCATTAGGTAATCCCCCCTGCCACACCCTGCCCTGAGTCAGCAGCCATTGGACTGCAGAGAAATGACAACAGGACTTACTATGGGCCAGGTGACATGCCAAGTGCTATACATCTATCCTCTCAGTCACATTTTTGTTATTCCCATTAGATAGATGAGTAAACTGAGGCCCAAAAGAAGTTAAGTGACCTGTCCAAGTTCACACATTTGCTAAAGGCCAGAGCTGGGATTTGTACCTAGGCTGCCTGACCCAACTCTACACTCTTAACCTTTATATTCTGCCATTGGTTTTCCGTCCATGTCCTGAACTGGAAAGCATAGATAGCACCACAGGACTCCAGCCCAATGCCTGCTTCCTTGCCACTGACCCCATAGGTACAACCGGCTGCTGGAAGTGATCAATCAAACGCTACAAGATCTGCTCAAGGCACTCAAAGGACTGGTAGTGATGTCCTCGCAGCTGGAGCTGATGGCTGCCAGCCTGTACAACAATACTGTGCCTGAGCTCTGGAATGCCAAGGCCTACCCATCACTCAAGCCACTGTCCTCATGGGTCATGGACCTGCTGCAACGCCTGAACTTTCTGCAGGAGTGGATCCGAGATGGCATCCCAGCTGTCTTCTGGATCAGTGGCTTCTTCTTCCCACAGGCTTTCTTGACAGGCACTCTACAGAACTTTGCCCGCAAATCTGTAATCTCCATTGACACCATCTCCTTTGATTTCAAGGTCTGGGCACAGCCAGGGCCAGGTCAGGTGACAGCCTAGGGTACAGTCCAGGCAGGAGGGGCACTGAGGCCATGGCTGGTTGGCAGTTGGGGGACCCTGAGCAAAAAGATTGGGAAAACCCAGGCCAGAAAAGGCCACGAGCCCCAGGGAAATTCCCAGGGGTAGAACAGACTGTAGGCCAGGGCTAAGTGATGGGCAGGGAGGCAGCAGCTCTCAGGAGGGAGTTTGTGCCTCATGACCAAAATCCTAACCCAGATTCTGGGTACTGGTATGTGTGGGTATGTCTGTGTGTTGACCACAGGTGATGTCCCGAGCACCATCGGAGTTCAAGAACAGGCCCCAAGTAGGGTGCTATATCCATGGACTATTCCTAGAAGGTGCCCGCTGGGATCCAGTGACCTTTCAACTGGCCGAGTCTCGGCCCAAGGAGCTGTACACAGAGATGGCTGTTATCTGGCTGTTGCCAACGCCCAACCGCAAGGCCCAGGACCAGGACTTCTATCTGTGCCCCATCTATAAGACACTGACCCGTGCTGGTATGGGGTTCAGGGCAGGGAGCCTATACTATGGGTGGGTGCCCAGTACTGACCCAGCCTAGCCCAAGCCAGTCAGACTCACCCAAGTTAGCTGAACAGGAAGGGCAACAGGTTTGGGCCAGGATAGAGCCAGGCCAGCAACAGGCAGGTTAATGCTCAGGAGCTGGAACCAGGTCTGCAGGATGCAGCCCCTGAGCTCACTGCCTACTACTTGCTTCTCTCAGCAGATCCACCTTAGGTCCCGGGAGCCTACAAGCCCAGCCTGCCAGGGTAACTGAGGCCCAGAGCAGGGATGGGCTTGGGCTTGGGCTTGGCCTATCAGAGAATGAAAAGCAGCATCAACTCTCCTACCCCTAGCTCCAATCTCCAGTGCAATAACAATGGGTAGTCCTGAACCTTGGCCAGACCCACTCACCAGGCAGGCTTCCTCTTGGGTCAGGACCCCTTTCCTGTCCCCAGTGTAGTCTTCCGAACCCTCTGGCCTTGGCCCTACCCCATCCCTGCTCTAGTTGTAACGAGGCATGACCTAACCTTCCCCTCTCCATGCTTGCTCCAGGAACACTATCAACCACAGGCCACTCCACCAACTATGTCATTGCTGTGGAGATTCCCACCGACCAGCCCCAGAAACATTGGATAAAGCGTGGTGTGGCCCTCATTTGTGCCCTGGACTACTAGACTCATTAGACAGGAGGGCTGGGGCCATTAAAGTTGAATTTTATAAGCAGTTCAGTTGTGCTTAGCTGCATGCATGAGGTACTGTCCATAGGACTCACTGCTGGGGGTGGTGAGGGATGCAGGCGCCTCAGCAGAGGATGCACTCAGCAGGGGACAGAGGGACAGAGGCAGCAGCCTTGGCTTGCTGTACCTGTCCAAACACAAGGGAAGAGACATGTACCTACTCAGATCCCAGCGCCCCTCCAGGAGAATACACCAGGCAGGACTAGTGGGAGCCCTGTTTCCTTGATCCAGAGCCCCAGCACTTCTCTAGGTTGCAAAGCCACCAGGTGTGTTGAAAGCCATGGCCCTCTCTTTGCAAAGTGTACCCTGTCCACAGGCTACCTGAAGCTCCTCAGCTTAGGTCCCAAATCCCAGGCCTAGGGTCCCAAGGATCCAGGAGAAAGCTGGACACCCAGGACTGCATACTTCTTACCTCTCTGGTCACAGGACTGTAGGTCCCTCACTACCACCACAGCCCCGCCTACAGACCCCAGCTACAGAGCCCAGCCACAGGAGGGTTCATTTCTCAAGAGTTTTATTCATTCATAGATCCACTATTTACAGGGGCTGGAGGGGTCAAGCTGTGTTCAGCCCAGAGAGGCAGCTGCCACACCTGCCAGCCCCCCAAGTCACTATGTACAGGTATAAGGCCTGCTGGGATCACCTTCAAAGCCATCTGGTGGAGGCCATGGAGCTATATTTGAGGCCTGAGCTTCAGAAGCAGTGCTGGGCCCATAACTCATTGGCATCAGGCCCTCTGGGAACACAGGGCTCCAACTGGCCTTCTCAATGCTCTGTCCCCCACCCTGAGTGCTGTACAGAGGCTAAGGATGCTGGTGAGCAGGACGAGCTGAGTGGTGCTAGCTTCCTGCAAGCAGCCCTATCTCTGCTATCCCTAAGAAGAGGGAGACACAATAATACTGAGGGGCTGGGAAGAGGCTCCTCCCTCTGAGCCCCATGTCCCAGGGACAGAGACCAGGAGTCCAAGGAAGGCCCACAGCGAGGGCCACAACACTGAAGGCAAAGAGCCCTAGAACCCTGCTGTAGAGAGCAATCTCAACAAGTTCGCCTAGAGGACAGTTTCGAGGGCACCAAACAGTTCAAATGCTTCTCACTCAAGCCATGGGATCCCAGCAAGCTGTTCATCCCACTCCTGCTGGGATATCCCACTCCTAATCTAGCCCCGAAACCAGGTCCGAGTGTGGCATTCTCCCAAGAGGAATGAGGAGTAGGCCTGGTTTCCTCATAACAGGGACAGGCTGGCAGCTGGGGCTAGAACAGCAGGGCCCAATGCCCACCCAGGCCCCTGGCTGGGACCCTGCAGGACTGAACCGAGCGTGACACAGGGACCTGGGCCCACCGGAATGACAGCTGCTAAGAGAGAAAGCAGAGTCAGGAAGGTGGCTATGTCAACATGGTGGCAAGATGGGTTGAAGCCCAGAAAAATAGATGTCTCTGATAGGTAAAATATATATTCTGCAGCCCGGGCAGAACGGCCAGGTTGCCACTCCACAGCCGGCTGTGGAGGAAGCTGCAGTGCCTTGCTGTGCCAGCTCCAGCTGCTGCCTCCTGAGCACTATGGGGCTGACCTGCTCCCTGCCAGGCCCCAGGGCATGATGCAGGGAATGTGGCTTGGTTCCCATCACCAGGGCCTGGGCTCTCTGGCAGGAACTATTCAGTAATACTGGGAAAGGGGGTGTGTGGCAGAGAGGGACCCTGGTGAGGGCCACGCGGCAAGAGTGGGCTGCAGAGTCAGGGCCAGCAGTCCTCACTGGCGCTTGGCCTTGTAAGGGCGAGAGCGTTTCCGCCTGTCAGGCTTCCGTTGCTTGTGGAGCCGCCCAATGCTGACCCCTTGGCGCCGCCGCACAGAGATATTCTGCTCCACCAGGTTGGCCAGCATGCCTGTGGAGAGGCAGAGACCCTTGAGCAAGTGACTGGATGCCTCATGATGGGTGCTGAGGCTGTCATGATCCTCCCGGTGTCCACGGTCTGCTCAAGCCTCAGGAGAAATCTGAGGGAGCAGGAATCTGAAGGACATGGCCCTGAGCAGGGCATGTCTGTTAAGATGCGGCAGTGGGGCCCTCACCTTCCTGAGCCAGCATGGAGATGAAGGTGCAGATGAACTCATCGTAGTTGTGGGTCCTTCTCTGGTCATCAATCTGTGGGACAGAAGAAGGTTGAGGACACTCCAGCCCATCTCCTCAAAGCAGCTACTTGCTGACCTCGAGAGGGGGCAGAGGATCAGGCAGATAGCAAGATCACCCACCTTGAACTTCTTCCTCTTCTCCACTTCCTCCTTGAGGCAGGCCTCATAGTTTGCAATCTCAGCCTCCACACACTTCAGCAGTGCCAGCAGCTCCTGCCAAAACCCAACACTGCACCTGGGATGGGGCCAGCCAGCAACAAAGCCCCACTACCAGGAGGCAGCCAGAGGCAAGGAGAGTAGCCCAAGTCCAAGCCTCCTGAGCCTCTGCCACCACCCAACCCAGAAAGACTTCCTGGCACCTGGCTCCAGCCACCATCTTCACACCTAGCACCTAGGCAGCAGCAGCTCAGGCCCTTCCCTCTGTTTGGATAAGGAGAAAGCCACAAAGGAGACCCACCTTGGGTGAGTACTTCTCCCCACTCAAGGGCTCACCGGGCCTCACCAGCCCCATCTTCTCTCTGCTGTCTGTAGCTTCCACCATCTCCTTCTCTACTGGGCTGCCGGAACCCTGGTTGCCTTGGCTCTGTCTGATGGAGGGTGAGGAACCCTTCCCACTTTCTGGGAAGAGAAGTCACAAGAAGACCCATAAGAGTGCCGGACACTTTGTGGTCACTTGGCCACCTCCCTCCTCCCTCCTGGGTGAACCAAGTGGCCAGTGAGCCAGTCCAAGGCCCACCTGTCAGTGTCAGGGGACTCAGCACACCATCCTCAGCCAGGTGCAGCAGGCCTGTGCTGATGACAGGACCCAGGTCACGGACTGCACGGTTGTAGCGTATACAGTCAACACGCAGCAGGCTGTCATCCTCTCCAAAAAGTACTTTGGAGATGTGGGAGGTGACAGGACTGGAGGGCCGTGTTGGGTTGGCTGAGCGGATGGGCGAGCGCAGCGGTGAATTGAAAGCACTGCCAATCTCAGAGGCTGTGTCAGTGCTCTCATTGCTTGGGGTGGGGGAGGGCTGAGAGTGAGTGGCCACTGCCACAGCTGGACTCCCAGCACCACTGCTAGTTTTGATAGACAGAGGAATTGAGAGGTCCTTCTGGGACTCTTTGAGCTTCTCAGCCAAGACGTTGATGGTGTTGGGTTGCAGCACTGACAGCTGCCCATCGGCAGAACCACTCAATGACACTGGCTTCCCTGTCCCCTTCCGCTTGTACCTGTGGGGCCCATGAAGAGGTGAGGCAAGGGAACAGCCAGGTGACCACACCCAGCAGCAAATGGCTTGAACACACCCTGACCTCCAGGGGCTAACCCCGATATTCCTCATACTTGGTCCAAGCAGCTTAGCCCAGCCACACCAAGTCTGACATGCTATGTTCTGTTAACTGCAGCCAGATATCCTCAAAGGACACCTCCTCTGTCCCAACTGCCTCACTTCAGCGCTTTTGCTAATGCCATGTCTTTTAACAAAGCTGTCACCCCAGCCCCCATGTCTCCTCCATCCCAGCCCCAACCAATCCTTCAAGACCCAGCTGAAAGGCCGCCTCCAACAGGACAAGCCTTGATATATGCTTATGTATTCAGCCCTCCCCCAAGCCCACCAAAAAACTGCTTGGGAACCTGGGATTAGCTCCTTCATACCAGCCTCCCCCAGGGCCCTGCACTCTGTAGGTGCTCAGTGTCATCTCTGAAGGACATTCTTAGATATAGACTGAGATATTCAGCATAGGATCTGAGGTACCCAGAGCCTGGTAGCCTTTTAGAGTCAGAACTGACCTGATGGCAGAGTTGGTATTCTGCATGTCATCGTCCTCGTCATCCTCATAGTCATCCTCATCATCTGAGTACTGCTGGGGTGGGCGGACTGGAACTCGGCTGCGGCCCACACCTGCTGCCAGGTCTTCCTCCTCCTGCAGCAGAGACCAGGGCAGTCATGAGTAGGGGCTGCTCAGCCTAGGCTGAGCATAGACACACCCAGAGAGAACACCGAAGTGGCTGAGTTAGCTGAACCCCTCCAGGTGCTCCAAAGCCCACCTCTGGCTCCTGGGAAGGCTGCCACCCACTTACGCTGCACAGAAGCCTATGGAGGGCTTCTAGGAGAGAGAATCCCAAAACACATACCTTTATTTTGCCAATAGAGACCAATCCACAGAGTTGTACCGGGAGCATGCCCTAAATGTTTAATCTCATAGCCATATGGCTAGATTAAAGTCAGAGGAGTACTCCCTGCCTCCCTAAGACCCTGCAATTGTAGGGGCCTCTGCATATCAGGCACAGGAACCTGGAAACCCAGGTCTAGGCAGAGGGTAGACACCAGGAACCACATGGGGAAACTGCCTGTTGCAGTCTCTCAAAAGAATCATGAAGAAAATACCACAAGGGTGCTCCCAGCTTACCTGCATGGGGGACTTGGCATAGTTGTGATTGTCTAGAAAGGCTGGCAGCCGCTGAACAATGGGAGTGGGGTTGGGGGGAACCCCATTGAGGCTGCTCCCTGGAGGCTTCACCACCAGTTTGGGTTTGCTGGGAGGGCTGTGGGTCAGGACTTGTGCGCATGAACTAGTCACCTCCTCTGCACCATCTGAGACAGGGCAAGGAGCATAGGCAGGACCTTCAGTAGGACCTCCAAGAAAAGCCCAGTCTCCCTAAGTCAAGTGACACAGCACTGCTCCCTCACCCTTCCCAGAGAAAGGCAACCGAGTCAGCTGATAGAATGGGAGTCTGCAAGTTCTGTCATGATCCCACCACAAGACTGGGAAAAGAATGAGATGGGGGAGAAAATAAGAAGGAAGAAAGAAAAAGGCCTCTAGAGAAAAGAAGGAAGGGCCCAGGGGCCTGTGGTGATGGCACTTTTACAGGCACTTTTTAAAGGGAAGGACTGCTCTCCCTTTACGTTGAGAGGGGAGAGCTGAAAGCCTCCCCCCACTGCCTAAGGACCTCCATAAGAGACGTAACGCTGCTCAGGCTTCCCAGATCAAGCTATGAGGGGTGGCTCCAAGGCCACAAGAAGCTCCAAGTGCCCCAGTACCTGTGTGGGTGCCCTCAGAGGCTGCTGGGGTTCTGCTTGCCTCCAGCACCAGGGGTGACTTGCTGCTGGCAGCCTTGGACTCCTCAGGCAGCTGTGACTCTTGAGACTTGTGGGTCTGAATCAGCTCTGGCTGTGTTACCCTAATCAGCTAAAAACAGAATCCAAGGCTGAGAGGAGGAAGGGTAGACCCAGGCGTCTACTTTAGACAGCTAAGGGCTGAGGGACTAAGTGCATAATGGCCTTGGCTCTACCATTCACTCACTCACAGGGAAGTACAACAGCCAAAACCTCCTTTTAGAAGCTTTTCTCCCTCCCCACCCTAAGTCCCACCTTTCCCACAAGAAGAGCAAAGGAAAGGAGTGGTGGCTGAAGCCCAGATCCACCAAAGAGTATGATTTGGAATAAGAGACAGTTGCTGCAGTAGGGGAAGGGCAGGGAGGGTTGGGCTGGGTTGGGTTGGGCTGCGCTGGGCTGGGTCCAAGCAGGAGGAGCACCCACCTGCTGCAGAGCCTCCAGTACTGTCTGACGGTTCACCTTCAACACATGCAACCTGGCCTCATACTTGATCCTGCGGTCCGGCACCACTGCCATCAGGTTGAAGCGAATGTCGTGGTAGGGCTCCCTGCAGTCACAGCTGCAGCTGTGAGAGCAGCTCCTGCCCTGGCACTGCCATCAAGTTGAGGCAGATATCCTGGCAGGGCTCCCTGCAGTCATGCCTGCAGCTGTAGGTATAGGCCCCACCCCAGCTGGCAGGCAGCAACTGGCCATGCACACTAGACACCTGAGTTGGTGCCTTCCAACAGGCTGTGTGACGGGCCTATAAGAAAGCGAGCCAGCACACCTGGCCCATTCGGGGCTCCACCAAGGCCCACCGCTCCCCAGCCTATCCAGGAGCAGGCCGTAGGCAGCCCAGGCAGGAAATAGGGCAAGGAGTTAGGACTCCACTATTTAAGACTGATCTCATCAGATTCACCATGTGGTCCTACAGTTAAATCACTTGGCCTCTCTCTGTCAGCTCCAGAGGGTAGAGCAGGGTAGGCACAGGCCCCTTACCCTGCAGTGGCGAGGCCGATACGCTCCATGATGACCCTCCGGGCCTTGTCTGTCCATTCCTCATCCTCCCCCCATGGCCCTAAGAAAGACCAAGACAAGAAATCAGCAGGTGAGAAACCCTGAGTTTAGGCAGGCCAGGAGTGGGAAGGAAGACAGAGAAGAGTAGTTGAGCCAAGAAATCAGGAGCTGTTCAGGCAACATAGTGTAGAGTAAAATCCTTGCCAGGGTCAGATGTCCTCAATCCCCACCCCTGCTGCCACTGGATCCCAAGCACCTGAGGGCCCTGAGCCCCAGGTCTCCATGAGGTAGGCAGAGAAACCCAACAGGCCCTCTGTTCAGGGTGCCTACCATGGTCAATGGGGTAGACCTTCAGCCCATCCAGCTCAAAGAGCCGGCCTGTGATAGGCACATAGCTGACAAAATGGAACGCCTCCATGGTCCGCACTGCACTAAGGCCGTTCTGCTTCTCAGGGAGGTGGCGTGGCTCGGGCCTGGGGAAGGACATAGTCAGGGCCCCAAAAATGATGCTCCCCCCACTCCCATTCCACATCAGCTGTCATAGCTTCCACACACCTGGCATGGCTATTATGTGCCTTGGCCAATTCTGGGGCATTGCCAATCGCGTATCCTTTGCTCTGGAGAGAAAAAATAAGGCCACATCAGAACAAATTCTCCTCAGGTGGACCCATGGGTGGGCGGCAAAGCTCCAGAGAGCAGACCTAGAGGCAATCAGGACTCTGAAGAGGAACACAGATGAACTTTCCTAAAAAGTTAGTGGAATAGAAAAGAGCTCTGGAGCCTCAAAGAGTTGGGCAGTGCTGGCCATGCACAGTAATCAATTGACACTGGGGAGCAACTTGGCCTGACAGAAGAAGTCCCAACAGAGAAGGTTCTAACATTTTGAGACTTAAGGAAATTCCTCCCTCCCTGGGTCTGTCTCCTTTCCTAACAATTAGGCCTAAACCCAACTGCCTTACACAATTAATTTAAGGGTCAGATGTAATGTAAATAACCACTTGAAAAAAAACCAGCCTTAGAGTGCCAAATACCATGTGGTGGCATTACCAGTAACCCTAAGGGTCAGATATGCCCAGTTGGCTGTGAGCCTGGATTAAGACACTGCAGCCTACCTCAGGGCTGAAGCCTTTGGTGAAGTCCTTCATGCGACTCAGGGTGGGTCCCAAGTCCACGTTGCTGCAGTTCAAGAGCACGCTCAACAAAGCATGAGTGGCACAAGAGTTGGGTATCAGCTGTGAAACCAAGAATAGTCACCAATACACAGCAACCCTCACCAAAGCCCATATTCATCAGAAATGGAGATCCAGAGAGGAACAATCACATCCAGAAAATAACCCTCATTTTGCTCAATGTTTGTTCATTTAACAAGAACCTACTAAATACCTACCAAGTATCTGGGGACATAGAGAGTTGGCGCAGACACCATCCTGCTCTAAAGATGCTCCTTTTAATGAATAACAGTTCAGTTCTTCTGCCAGGGGATTTCAGTAACCACCACCCCTAGTATCTACCTATCTCCTCCTCCTGCCTTCCTCTACTTCCACTTCCCAAACAAAGAAAATGACAGCATCCCACCCTCCAGACAGAGCACAGAGCCCAGCAGACCTGGTGGGCAAAGAACATGTTATTCACAATATCGTCATCAATCACAGATGTGTCATCCACCAAGGTAGAGACCTTTCGACGGGATCGGCGCTCTTCGATCCATTTGAACAGGAAGATAAATCCATATACAGGGCTGGAAAAAGTTAAGGTACAGAGCCAGATCAGCCAAAAGGCAGAAAGCAATCAGCATCCCCTTATTTCTCCTCCTGTTCCTTTGTACTGTATCATCATGCAGGTGCCCTTGCTATGATCCCACTTCTCCCCTGGCTTCTCTCCAACACTGTGTCCAAAGTGGCCCTGCACCCTCACACTCCAGAGGCCTGACACAGGCAAAGCACAAGCTTTTGGCTCTGATATTCCAGGTGTCACCCAGTCTCCTTATGTAGTCTATGGTTCTAGGTTAAAAGAAGAAAAGCTGGAACCGATGGCCCAGGACAGGGTAGGAACACAAAGTGAGACAAGAACAAAAACTGTCTAATGAGGAATTTAAACACTCATTCTCACTTGTAGGCCCCAATGCAGTCAGGAAAGCAAATGAACACCCACACCAGTCTCCTCTTTCCTAGGAAGTTAAAGCAGACTTCTTGGTGCAGTCTTTGTACACTTCTGCAGAACCACCAGGACAACTCTTAAGTTTGGGCACCCAGGAAGCGCCTTGTCACACTAACTAATCAATTCAGGATTACCTCTGTCAGGATTAAAGCCATGGCACACACGGGCACATTGTAATTAATAAATTACACAACTACACAAAAGGCACCGTGTGACCTGGGGCTTCCTTCTGCAAGGGGCTTCCTGCTTGCAAGGCCAGAAAAGGCAGCAGAATCAAAGGATAATTAGGGCTGGGGAGAGAGCTGCTACAAAAACGGATGCACCAAGGGAAGATTGGGAAAAAAGAAATATCAGCTCGACCAGGAGGATACCCAAAGAGGAGGGATGCCTCTTTATGTGAGATGTTACAACTTGGGGTTCCTGATACTGCCTCCCTTGAGGGCACTCTCTCCTGAGCCGTTCCCCAGCACTCTGGGTGCAAGGGGCGGCCCTGGTGTGCGGCCACTCACCCCTGGCATTTGCTTTGAAGGTCATAGATCTCCTCCACCTGCACCCCTTTGACACCTGCGATCAGGAAGGGAAAGTGGTCGGGAAGGGCAGCTCCTGGCCCTGGAATAAGGACTCAAGCGTGGGTCCCCCCTAGCGCCGATCTGGCAGGCAGAAGAGGGTCTTACCAAAATCTTCCACCAAGAGGGTGAAGAGGCCTGGGTGGGACAAGAGGAGGGAGTAGTGGTCAGGCAGGCGCGACCCGGGCCCATCGGCCTCCCCAGCCCTCGGCCGGCCCGGCCCCCTCCTCACCCGGGTCGCTCTCCAACTCCAGCCAGCC